GGAAATGAGAGAGAGAATTTGGGTTGCTTTAACAACACACACACACACACACACACACACACACACACACACACACACACACACACACACAGACACACACAAGAGCATGGGCTGTTTGGATGTTTACCGCCACGAGTTCTCTTTGGGGGGAAATGTATGTTTTGTGGGTCGACGTGGAAGGCTTTCCCAGGTTTTTCGGACCCTTAGCAGGGGGGGTTGGTGTGTTCTTGCTGGAGGAGTTTTCTGTCTTAGGTAAGTTGTCTCTTATCTTCTTCCGCCTCTTTGGCAGTGACTCGAGTGTGTGGTTTGAGATGAATGTCGGGAATGCCAATGCTGTTGTTTTTTATTGTTTTTGGTAAATGAGTTTTTGGTTTTGTGGGCCGATGCGGAAGGCTCTCCAAGTTTTTTTGGACCTTTGAGGGGGTCGGGTCGGTGCCTTCTTGCTGGAGTAGTCTTCTGTCTTAGGTACAGTTGCCTTCTGCCCTCCATCCCCTTGTGGTTTGAAATATATATGTATACATATGTATATGTGCAAGTGTGCCGCTTTGGTGGCGGACGGGTGCGTGAGCACTTGGCGCTGAACCACACAAACGTGGCCAACCTTTCATTTTCTATTATATTGCCTATCTGTACTTCTTCGTTATGGATGGCTTGTGATGATTTGTGAAGGGAATGAGAGAGAGAATCTGATGTCTTTTAAAACAACACACATTACGATCTTGCTAGCTCTCTATCTTGGCAGATCTGAGCGGCTTGGATCGGGCTCGTACTAGCGAGCTATTCTCTCTTTTTGTGGTTGGATATTTCTTGTTGGTTTTGATGATTATACACGGCCTAATTCTTTGCCCTGCTTTAGAGCATGGGCTGTTTGGATGTTTACGGGTGCCACAAGATCTCTTTGGGGGGAATTTATGTTTGTGGGCCAGCGTGGAAGGCTTTCCCAGTTTTTTTGGACCCTTAGCAGGGGGGGTTGGTGTGTTCTTGCTGGAGGAATCTTGTGTCTTAGGTAAGTTGTCTCTTATCTTCTTCCGCTTCTTTGGTAGTGACTGGAGTGTGTAGTTTGAGATGAATGTCGGGAATGCCAATGCTGTTGTATTTGATTGTGTTTGGTAAATGAGTTTTTGGTTTTGTGGGCCGAGGCGGAAGGCTCTCCAAGTTTTTCCGGACC